GACTCTAAGGGGAATTATGTATTAACTTAGTCACTGGTCACAGTGAACAATCTATTATTATTATTATTATTATTTTTAGAGATAGAGTCTCACTTTATCGCCCTTGGTAGAGTGCCATGGCATCACAGCTCACAGCAACCTCCAACTCCTGGGCTTAGGTGATTCTCTTGCTCAGCCTCCCAAGTAGCTGGAACTACAGGTGCCTGTCAGAACGCCCAGCTATTTGTTGTTGTTGTTGTTGTTGAAGTTTGACTGGGGCCAGGTTTGAATCTGTCACCCTTGGTATATGGGGCTGTTGCCCTACCCACTGAACCACAGGTGCCGCCCTGAACAATCTATTATATCTACTTCAGCCTTTCAGATGGTGAGCAACAGCCCTGGATGGTAACCCAGGACCATCTCTGGTAGGCCTGGGGCCCTAAAGTCTATTCCTGGCTCAGTGATGACCTCCCCTGCTGCCCTCACAGTAGGAGCCCAGAGATGCAGAGGCTGAGCCAACTTGATGGCACGGGAAGAACAGAGATTTGGGGTCCTCCTGGGGGAAAGGCTGTCTTTACCTCCTCCTGGAATGCCCTGAGTGGTTCCAGGCACTAGAGGAGAGTATGCCATGACAGACGTCACACCCTATAGGCTCAGGCCAGCTACAACAGCATTCTCACTCCACCTCCCTGCAGAGCTGCATGGTCCACACTCACTCCTGCTCTCGTAGACACAGGCACTGAAGCATACTTTAAGAGGAGATCGTGGTCTGTACCTATCACCTGTACTTATGATTCTGTCCAAAGGAACCCAGTTAGGTTTATTTATTTATTTATTTATTTGAGATAGAGTCTCACTTTGTCGCCCTTGGTAGAGTGCTGCAGCTCACAGCTCATAGCAACCTTCAGCTCTTGGGTTTAAGCAATTCTCTTATCTCAGCCTCCCGAGTAGCTGGGACTACAGGTGCCCCCCACAACGCCCAGCTATTTTTTGTTGCAGTTGTCACTGCTGTTTTAGCTGACTAGGGCCAGGTTTGAACTGGCCACCCTCAGTATATGTGGCCGGCACCCTACCCACTGAGCCACAGGTGTTGCCTGGAACCCAGTTCTTTTTTAACGCAACGTGACCTAAAACTGTCTTACGCTTTGTGGCAAAGAGAGGCTGCTGAGCGTTCTGAGGAGCTTGGGCTCCAGTGGGTGGGAGGAAGCCTCTTGAGCCTTAGGCTGCCCTTGGGTGAGCAAAGGTTGTTTCAGGGCAGGAGCCCACCTTGTTCAGGCCACAGCCTGTGGCATGTTCCCTGTGCAGGAGTAATGCATGGGCATCTGAGCAAGGAAAAACATGCCATAGTTATACCAGAAAGGCCCTCTGAGCCTCTGAGAGGAGCTTCACACCCAGAGGGCTTAGCATACCCCAAAAAGTCAGCCATGCCTAGGACCGAGGGCACCCAAGCAGTACTAGAAAATCTAGGGTGCCACAATGCCCTCATGCCATCCAACAGGCATGAGAAACAGCTTCCCTTCAGGGCCCAGGATGCAGCCTTGTCCCTGGCTGGCACTACTTGTAACAGGGCCCTGTTGCCTCATGGAATGCACAGGCTTGCAAAGACCCCAAGAGCGGCAGAAGGCAAGTGGAGAGGGTGTTGCAAAGCCTGGATCGGGGATAATAGTGGACATGGGGAAAAGAAGTGGAATGTTACAACATCCCTGACCCTTTGTAGGAGGGTCAGGGAGAGGGACACTGGGGCCTATCAAGTATTAGCTGCCAGAGAATATTAGCTCTTCAGGACACCAGGGTGATGACCAGGACCAGTCCCTGCCCACACAGCTCTGTGGCACCCACTGATCAGTCCAGGTACATACTGCTGCTTCTCAGGGGCCAATGGGGACCTCCAGGTGGTCCCCAACACCTCACCTTGAGCTCAAGCCAGGGCAGTACAAGGGGTCTCCCCCCATGCAGTGAGGCCATGCCCACCAGCACATCCTAGCCCAGGAGCAGGGTGAAGGAGGGGCAGATGAGATGAGGCAGGAGGCAGACACCAATGAGGACAGGGAGGTGAGGCAAGGCCTCAGAACACTACCCTCCTTGTGCCTGCCAGAGCCAAGGGCTGTTATAGGAGTACAGGTGAGTCACCCTTAGTCAGAGCCAACATCCTTCTCTACTCAAGCAGATCAGGAAGGCCTTGATGTTCTCACCTGTAAAATGGGGCCGCTCTACCCACTTCACGGAATGCCACACAGCATGGCTCCCAACTAAGGGAGAAGGCAGACACAGAGCTATACCGTGCACAGGGAGCATCCCAGGCCAACAGGCCTCTGGCCCACTGCCCCCTCCTTTGATTGCTGTGGACTGTGGGGATACTGTCCAGTTGCTGCATGCCTCCTGCCTAGCTGTACAGCACCAGCAGCTATTTCACACATCTGCCATGGAAGCATTCACATAACAGTCAAAAGGCTTTGCCTGTACACCTGATGCCTAGCCATGGCCTTGATCTGTCATGAGAGCAGCCACCAAGCCCCAGCCTGAGATGAGGCTGACTAGCAAACAAAGGCCCTCACTACCACCCACCCCACCACCGAGACACTTCACCAGGGCCCCATCTCGCTTCCAGTGGATCACCTCAAATGATCCACTAATGCCAACCTGTCCAGTGCCACCCACAGGCCCAAAAGGCCAGTGGCCCCTGGTCAGCCCATACCTGACACTCATCCATAGCAGCTCCCACAGCCCGGCTCTTCCTTGTCTCCTTCCCTCTGCCATCAACCTACTGCCCAGCCCCAGTCAAGGCCTTGGTGGACCAGGAGCACCCAGCAGAGGAAGGGGGCTGCTCACTACTCCTGTGTGGGTCTGGGGCAGCTCTATGGAAACTCTGAGGGAGGCACGGTCAAATGTGCAGCAGCACATTCCTCTATAGACATTCCCAGGGGAAATGCCAACAGTCTTAAGGACAGCCCTGGGCCTGTCCAGCCCATCATCCATACTGCCACATCCAATAGCAGTGTGGATGATGGGCTGGTCAGGCACAGGGCATGCATCTCTGGCATGCACCAACCTACTGCATGTTCCCACAGACACAAGTGGCTCCATGTCCATCTGGCACACCACAGGACTACCCCATTCCCAAATTAATACCTGGTACACTACCTTCCCCAAAACCTAGGATAAGCAAAGAGGAAGACTTTCAATTAAAAAAAAAAAAACTCACCTATTTCCTTTTGCAATCCAGGGGTAATTACTGTGTAATTAAAAAGGAGGAGAAAAAAAGAAAGAAGAAACCCAATTCAGTAATTCAAGGAAACCTGCATTCTTTGGCCTCCCAGGCATGTCCAGAGCCCAGGGTGATGAGGATGGTATGACAGCAGGCAGGAAGCCCCTCTGAGACACATAATAAAGTCCCACCGCAAACTGGGCCAGGTAAAGCCAAACTACCCAGACCCTTAGGGGTATGGGTACAGAACCAGCTGCCCCTAGGATCCCCACTGGCCCACAGTGTAGTCCTGCTGAAGACACAACTGGCCTCTGGGCCTCCAGATATTGCCCTCCCCACTGGGACCTTACTGTAGACCCCCAGCTTGCCTGCCCATTCTACGGCATGGACAGCCCTCCCACTGAGTTCCACCAGTGGCTGCACAGTTCACCATAGGGGGCTGAACAAAGTACTGTGGGCCCTGGAGACTGCAGGCAGGCAAGTGCAAGCCGGATGTACTCTGGGTGCTGCCTGTCTGGGAAACTCATCAGTCAGTGGCTGCCCAGGCCACAGCCTTTCAGTTTTGGTGGAGACCTAAGCAGAAAACAAAACAAACTACCAGAGACATCCTCAAACTTCCCTCTTTCAAAACTGCAGAGCCCAGGCAAATAATCTGTCTTCTTCACAGAGGCCCTCTGGGCAGGGCTGGAGGCCCAGGGGTGATTCCTTGCCCAGTCGCTGCCACCCCTACACCCCTTTCCTTGATGGGGGCGAATTACAGTGGTGAGGAGATTGGATTTCCCTCCAGACTGGAGCTTTCCTACTTTCCTACTCATCTCTCACACCCACGAGCCCACAGAACCTCTGGGGGTCCAGAAACACCAAATGAGGCTCCTGCGTGCGGCAGGAGTGGAGAGGGAAGACCCTAGGAGCCCGAGGCCAGCCAGACCGACACGCAAACAGACACACCCGCCCCCAGCCCTAACACTGCCCTAGGTCTGGGCTACACTGCGGGGCGACGGGGAGAGAGAAAACGCCGGACTCCACCTACACAGACAACCCTTTGGGCTGTCTGCTACAAACAAAGCCATCCAGAGGCCAGAGGAACAAGTACCAGTTGCTCCCAAAGCCACGATGATCCAGGGCGCCAGGGTCCAGACGGTGCCCTCAACCCCTACCCCTAACGAGAAAGTCTCCCCGCGAAAGTTGGGGCGACGGGCCCCGCTCAAACATCTCACCCTCCCTCCCTAGCCCGTGTGTTTCCGGAAAACAAAGCCGGTGGCCAGAGCGGAAGGGGGAGGGCGCAGCGAACCAGCCGGGAGTTCCCCAGCAGGCCCCGCAACAGGTCTCCCAGATCAGACCCCTCTGCCCCCAATCCCCCTAGCTCTACCCCTCAAAAGCTTAAGCACCACAAGCGGAGAGGGAAGACACCAGCGCGGAGAAGGACCAGACCGGAGGTAGAAAGGGGACAAGGTGGGCAGAAGGCTCGGGACGGAGAACGGGTGGTGGGCGTGAGCGCAAGGGGTTAGGAAGAGAGGAGGCAGAACTGAGACTTGAAGGGTCAGCGGAGAGCAGTGGAGTGCTGGGTCACTGGGGCGGCGGGGAACTGGATGTGGGAGTCAGCGTGGGGCGGGATCTGGGGGTGCGGGCTGCGAGGTCCGCGAGATGTAGAGAGGGCACTGGGGCTCTCTGTGTAGGGGGTAGTACGCCGGGGTCCGGAAAGCGGAGTTGGCAGGGCCCCGAGCGTGCGGATGGGAACTGGGGGTCAGAGACTGGGGTTCTAGGCGCGGGGGCTGGGCGCGTGGCCGCTGTGGCCGACGAGCGCGCGCGTAGTTACCTGGGATCCGCCGTGGCCGGGCCCGCGGGCGGCGGCCGGGCCGGCCTCAGCAGCGCGGAGCGGCCCCCCGCACCTGGCCCCGTGCCCGATCGCGCTCCGGCTCGAGCTCCGGCGCCCGCTCGGGCCCCCGCTCCGGCTCCCACGCCGCCTGGGCCGGCCTCCGCATGTTCGGAGCGGCAGGCGCCGGGCTCGCCGCGCTCCGCCGCGCCCGCTCCGGGGCCCGCGCGCCTTACGCCGCCAGCGTCGGCCAGCGGGGGGCGGTGGCCATACGCTCGATACTGCGCAGCCGCGGCCGGTGCGCCGGGCGCGCGCTCCGCTACGTCACAGCGCGGGGCGGGGCCTAGTCTCGGCCAGGCCTCTCGCACGCCGCTTTGCGACACCGGGGGGCGCTGCACTACGGCCGTCGTGCTTTGCGGCCGCTCCGGGGAGTCGTTGGGGCGCTGCCCTCAGGGACACCGGCGGCGCGCAGCCGTGGGGGCGCGCGCGGGCGGGGAAGAGGCCGAGAGGTTTACACGACCCGTAGGGGTGGGGTTTTGTTCCGGTCCCGCCCCTTTGTCGCCATGGCGACGCGTGGCTGGTTGCCCTGGCACCTCCCCGCAGCCGCGTCTGTGATGTCACGGTCTGACCACCTGACGTCACGGGCGGGCGGTGCCGCTGGGCGTGATCTGCACGGGGCCGGTGGTCAGCGCGGGCTAGGAGGATTCCCCAGCATAGGACGGCCAGGAAATGAGCTGATATAGGGGCAAGAGGATTTTTCCATCTGGGTTGTCTGGGCCAAGAGGGGAAAACCGACGAATCTAGGATGATGATCAGTGCCCAATGGGCGAAGGATGGTGGCTTGGGCACCTCTGTGTCCTAGTTAGTGATGACATCAACACAGAGCAAAGGACAGGAAGGGACCCGAGGCTGCTCTGCAGGGGAGTCACCCATGGTGACTGGTCAAGTGTATTGCTGTGCCTGCTGTGCCAAGCACAGGCCTGGCTGCTGCTAGCACCCAGTAGCGCAACTGTCAAAGTGCTTGCCCATGCACCATCTGTCTGCACCCCCCACTATAAGGAGAGACCTGGGGAAGGACACAACTGGCCAAGGACCCGCGTGGCCAGGCCCTGTGATCCACCCCAGCACAGGGGTGGAGCTCCATAAAGGCAGCTGTAGAAATGTTCCCTGGGTGGGGAGGGCAGCTGCAGAAATGCTCCCCCTCCGTATTCCATGTACCTCATTTTTAAAGTTGGAGGAGACACATCCATTCAAAGATGTATGCATTGAGTGCCTGCCAGTGGCTCTGAGAATAGAACAGTGAGCTAGACTCTTGGCATTGTTTCCCAGGGAGTCCTCAGTGCTGGAGGGAGGGAGGAAGCGTCGCAGATAATCTAATATAGTGATATAAGGTGGTGCATGGCTGAGTGCACCATGACACTTCCTTTGGGCAGATGGTCAGGGAAGGCTAAAAGCTGAGTGTGACAAAATTGGAAGGAAGATTCCATGATCTCCTGTGATACTCAAGCCAGATAGGGCTATAAAGAAAAATATCGGCTCGGCGCCTGTGGCTCAGGTGGCTGAGGCGCCAGCCACATGCATCTAAGGTGGCGGGTTCAAATCCAGCCTGGCCTGCCAAACAACAGTGATGGCTGCAACCAAAAGATAGCCGGGCGTTGTGGCGGGCGCCTGTGGTCCCAGCTACTTGGGAGGCAGAGCAGGAGACTCGCTTGAGCCCAGGAGTTGGAGGTTACTGTAAGCTGTGATGCCACGGTACTCTACCCAGGGGGACAGCTTGAGGCTCTGTCTCAAAAAAAAAAAAGAAAGAAAAGAAAAGAAAAATAACAGGGAGGAGAATTGAACTTTAATGGGAAGGCAGAATGTCAATACATTTTAGGGGCCAAACCAGGCCTTCAGAGATGCAGGTTCTCGATCTTGTTCTGGCCCAATGTAAGAAGCAGGCAGTCCTGGCACAGTCCTTGTACTCTGTTAGTCCTCCATGAAATGTCACTCCTTGAGGAAGCCCAGGCCACCTCCTCTGTTATCCTTTCTGGCTGCATCAGGATGCTCTCTTTTCTGATGTGTACCACAGTGGAGTGTGTTTGTTTAATATTCATCTTCTCCACTGCGCCAACATGTCTGGCACATAATAGAGGATCAGTGTCCATACAGTGACTATATGCAGTGAATGAATGAATTACTGAATCAGTGAACTCCACAGCCCCTCCCGCATTTTTCAGAGTCTGAGTTTTATTCTCTGCCCCCTCTCTCCTGTTTTCTTCCATTCTTGACCTTCAGGAGAACCTGCTCACAGTTGCTCAATCCCCTGAAGGGACACTCCTCCTCCAGAGGTATTTGCACCTTAAACCCAAGTTTTGACCTTACCTCTGTAAAAGGATGGTTCCTACAGAAGAAAGAATGCAGAAAGGAAGGTCAAGGTTGTCAGCTAGAGACTGACTATATAGGTCATTCACCTTCTCTGGTCCTCTGCAACTGCGTCCATAAATTGGGGCTAACGATAGCTTCCACAGGTATATCATGAGAATGCATGAATTAATGAGTGAAAAACTGCCAACGTAAGGCCTTCAGCCTCAAACAAACCTATTTGTCTCTAATCACTTGAGATCTTTGAAAAAACAAATAGCTTTTTGTGCATTATTATTTTTAACCACTTCAAATGTGGTCCTGATTCCTTTCAGCTTTAATCAGGGGACAGAGGGAAAACGGGGAGGGGGGGTAGGAAAAAGCCTCTTTGGGAGCTCTTAATAAAAACACTGTAAAGATGATGAGCTGTCTCTCCACCCTATCCCCCAGAAGAAAAACAATATCCCAGCCTCCCAGTTAATCCTAAACAGCTGTAGGTTTGGGGAAGGAAGCAGGCAGGACGTGCCCCCATCTGTTCTGTACCTATACTTGTGTAAGAGACATGTCCATCTCTTCTTCCTGCTTGAAGAGACTCCTAAGTTGGGACCAGGCTGCATTCTGGTGTCCAGCATCAGCCTAGTCACAAGCAGGTGCCCTGCTTCACAATTGTTAAAATAGAATTCAATTACTACTCCTTGCAGTTGGGTCTCTGTACCCAATAAAATGTAAACTCTCATTTTCTGGATGTGAAAACTGAGGTTTGGAGACAGAGAATGGATTGCCCACTGTCTCGAAGATTCCCCCAATACTGCTGTTCTTAATCAGTGGGCAGTGCTGCCTCCTCATGTTATGTATATAGAGTCCCAGCATCCCACCCCGACCCCAGTGACTACAGCAAAGGAGGGTGCCCAGCCCATAGCGGAGCCCAGCATGACCAAGTGGAACAGGTCTCTGTCTTTGGAAATTGTGAGCAACAGAGTGAAAACTGAGGTCAGAAGACACATGAGAGTCCAGGAAGAGCAGGTGTATTGGGAGCTATGAAGCAATTGGAATCTTTTTTTTTTTTTTAAAGATACCTTTATTGCTTTTTTGTTGTTGTTGTTATTGCAGTTTTTGGCCAGGGCCGGGTTTGAACCCACTACCTCTGGTATATGGGCTGGCACCCTACTCCTTGAGCCACAGGTGCCACCCTAAGCAATTGGAATCTTAAGCCAGGTGCAATGGCTCATGCCTGTAATCCTAGCACTGTAAGAGGATGAGGTGGGTGGATTGTTTGATCTCAGAAGTTTGAGACCAGCCTCAGCAAGAGCAAGATCTCATCTCTGAAAGAAAGGAGCCAGCACTGTGGTGGACACCTATGGTCCCAGCTACTCAGGAGGCTGAGGCAAGAGAATTGCTTGAGGGCTCGGCACCTATAGCTCAACCAGCTAAGGCGCCAGCCACGTACACCTAAGGTGGCAGGTTCGAATCCCCAGCCCGGACCTGCCAAACAACAATGACG